TAAAAGCTGTCATTTGATTGTAAGTAGTTTGTAGACCAAGTCAAGTCCCAATATTTTCGTACCTACTTCCACTTGAAGAAACTTTTCAGTAAGCACGGTTTCATTAGTGGTTTCTTGGCAAACGGCTTAATTTTTTTTTACCAATACTCCCCATATATTAGTGTCCTAAATCAGCATCAGTCTTGAAACTCGGTTGCTATTCCTGATGACCTGATTCAACACGTTTTGGACATACGTTTGTGTACTGCAGTGAGAAAGAGCCAAACATAGAATGGATGAAAGTTTCGTAGTTCTAGGTGGGTTGATTGTTTGGTACCATTAGCATAGAAGTTTATTTGATACCATTTATTAATTGCAATGATTTGGCTGAGGTCGTGAGTTTTCTATGGTTCCACTTAGTACACTCCAAACATTACTTGTACCCTGAAATGATGAGCCTGAAAATGATCTATATCACAAGTGTTTGATATTCGCTAATTTGTCTTACTTATGCAGGATTCTGCAGCATTGATTGAATGTCTGCGGACAGGAAATGAGCCTCCAGGAGACGTTCCCATCACTCACCTTGAAGTCAGTGATCCTCCTTGTGGATCCAGTGTTGACTACAGCATGTCGAATCATCGATCCGCCAGGCTCGAGAACGTAGACAATGGTATCCACTACGCCTCTATCCCTGTCTCTCCGGGACCTCCTGCCAATGGAGGTCCTTTTACCGGTGCCGATCCTATTGTGGAACCTACGGAGACACACAGATTACCAACGGTGTCTGCTACCTCTTATCCCACTCTCTCTAGGTCTGGTCGACGCTTTAGCATGAGTTCGATGGGTCTGGGATCCAATGGCAATGCAAGCGCTCATTCCTCCTTTCTATGGAAGGTTTTTTCTCGACGAAGCAAGGTAAACTCACACAACTTGATGGAATGTGCGTGTTATGGCTTTTCTTTTGAGTATGCCTAAATGAACCCTACCGATCTTAATTAAACGAAATGCCCTGAGCAACTATTGTACAATAAAGCTAGGTTAGTGACTTGTGGGACCTTTCCCTGGCACCAGACCAACTGATTTTAGCATAATTTTCTCAGCTTCAATTTTTTTTCTCGAACCTTAATGTTCAGTAAAATGGACGGTATCAACTTATATCGACTAATAGCACATTCATGGGGAATTAACTTCCATTACAGATCAGTTAATTCGATGAAGTCGGCTCTATTAAAGTGTATGTATTCTTGCTTAAAAGTGGTGTCATCCATCTCACTTAACATTTACAATTTGACATGCCTTCCTCAAAAAAAAAACAAAAAAAAAACCATTTCAAAAGAGCCATCCACAGTCAAGCCTCTGATGTTTGCTTCAGATGTCTTCACATGTGTAGCTGTTACAATCCTGAGCTTGTGTGCATCCATTGTTGCCATGGCTCCTGGCACACCGAATTGCACACAACTGTGCAGATTGCATGATTGCATTGCCAGACTCAAGTTCCTTGCTACTTACAAATTCGCAAAACAAAATATGTAGAAGTGGACCAAGAAAATCGTAGACTTTGTAGTGCAGGACTTTGGCCAACTTCTCCACGGAAAAGTAAGTGACCGGTTAAAACATTTGATGGGTAAGTAAGATAAGTGCTAGGGGATAAATTTGACGATTACTATCTTCTAGCTTACTTATGCTCTAAACGTCAAAAAATTGAAGGTACCTTTTTGAATATTATTCTGATAAAAACATATTTCTTTAAAACAGACCTACTTAGTATGACAGTAAATTATTAGCTCATACGACTGGTAAGTACAGTGGAAGCAAATGTACTGTGCCTTGGAATTTTAGCGAAAGGTGAACGTAAGTTTAGCTCATAACCTGTGGGTGGTTTTTACCTAACTTCCTTTTTTGTGCAAAATAATGCTAATAAATCACTTTCATGCATAGGTTTCACCAACTCTTTTTTGGTCAAAAAAAAAACAAAAATAAACCACATCTTTCACCTCACCACCAACACTTCACCTCATTTGGGCTATCATTTCACGTTCAAGTACCAATCACAAAGCCACTACCACTTTTGCCTTTAAATTTAGCACCTTTTCTTGGGAGACGAAAGCAATTTGCATCCTTTTCTCCCCTTCGAGACGACAAAACCATGGCGAAGCAGTCGCAGGTCAAAAAGTGTTAGCAGTTACTGGCATCCGGGCGGTGATGTCGTTTTGACAAATACGCCTTTTGAAGGCATTCGGGGAAATTCCAACGCTTATAGGGTGATTGGCGGACTCATTGTGGCTTGTAGTACGATAGAACAGCACCTTTAGCCCTACTTGCGCATTTTTGTACCACCTTTTAACACATTTGCACGATGGATTGATCGGATTGCTGTACATCGTGTTAGACTGGTCACTCCACTTTACAACCCTCTCACAGCAGTTTTGATGTCCCTTTAGAGTAGAGAGGCAGAACGACGTTCGGACGTGACACCACAAAATGTGCGAGCCTCAGGATCGCAGTCTCAATGCGACTCACCGACGAAGAAATTGTATGTTTGCCAAACATTCTACTTGCAATTTTTAAGTAAATAAGTTAATTGACTTTGATACGGTGGAAATAATTTGAATGCCCTGTGATAATTGCTTCGTCTAGTTATCCCAATGATAAGTGAATTACCGATTGGAATTTGTTTTAATGTGCTAAAAATGAGCATAGAAAGTCACCCATTGGCAAGACTGCTCTATGTTTGGCAAAGAAGGTGTTCGTCATCAAAACCAATGTTCACCTTGCTGATTTCGTTATCTTGCACGATTGCGTGCTTGAGCAGGATGAAGATGTATTTTCTTCCTTGAAAAACATGAATGTTTCCGGTTCAGTAAAATACTCAAAACATCACATCAC